TCCTCCCACCTCAGCTTCCTCCCACCACAGCTTCCTCCCACCTCAGACTCCTCCCACCTCAGCCTCCTCCCACCTCAGCTTCCTCCCACGTCAGCCTCCTCCCACCTCAGCCTCCTCCCACCTCAGCCTCCCCAGTAATAAGGATTACAGGCAGGTACTACCATGCTTGGCTAATTTTCTTTTTTTTTGGTAGAGATGGAATCTTCCTATGTTGCCTGGGCTAGTCTTGAACTCCTGGCCTCAAGTGATCCTCCTGCCTCAGCGTCCCATAGTGCTGGGATTACAGGAGTGAGCCACTGTACCTGGCCTGAAAATTAATTTTTAAATGACATCATTTACAATTGCATTAAAAATATCAAACACTTAGGAACTAGTGAAATGTGTGCAAGAAAACTATTTAAAAAATGACATAAATTAAAGAAGAGTATCTCCAAATAAATAAAGAGATATTCCATGTTCATGGGCTGAAAGTCTTTATACTGTAAAATATAAATTATTCCTCAAATAATCTATAGAATCTAAGCAATACTATTCCACATCCCAGCAGGTATTTTTATGGAAATTAACCAGTTGATTCTAAAATGTATATGGAAATGCAAAAAGCTAAAAAAGCAAATACAATTTCAAAGAATAACAAAGAATGTTTATAATACTAGATATCAAGACAGTAATTCAAACAGTATGATATGGACATGAGAATAAATAAACAGACCAATGAAAGAGAATAGTTTTAGTGAGCATACCTCTTTGGAAAACCACTTAGCAGAATCAGTTAACACTGAACATATGCACACCCTACATCCCCACAAGTCCCCTCTCTTCTAGGTACAGAATAATGCTCCCCCCCAACATAAATATCTAGCTACAATGTAATTAGTATGTCTCCATACTAATCCCCAGAATCTATGCATATGTTACAGTATATGGCAAAAAAGAATTAAGGTTATATAGGTAGAATTCAGTTGACCTGATCATCTGACCTTAAAATAGAGAAATGATCTGGGATTATTCAAGTGGCTGCAAACCTAATGAGATGAGTTCATAAAAAGGAAGGAAGAAGAACCTGTGAGAGGGGTTTGACCTACCCTTGCTGGTTTTGAAAATAGTGGAAGGGGCCTCAAGCCAAGGCATGCGGGTGGCTTCTAGAAGCTGGGAATGGCCCTAATCCAGCAGGAAAATGGGAACCTCAGTCCTACAACCACAAGGAATTAAATTCTGCCCACAGCCCAAATGGGCAGGAAATGATTCTCCCCTAGAACCTCCAGGAACAAACACAGCACTGCTGGTACCTTGATTTTAGACACTACTGGACTTGTGATCTGCAGAACTGTAAAAATATAAATTTGTGTTCTTTTGAGGAACAAAGTTTGTAGTAATTTGTTACAACAGCAATTGAAAATGAATACAGCAGCAGAATAAACAAAAATAATGACATATGTCACTGCAGTCCACCCCCTTGGTTCCTGAACAAGCATGCCTGTGTGCACATACACAAGCACATGCCTCTTCCCATACCGAGAATTCCAAAATGACTGCACCTATTATAATGCAATGGTCCTTCTTTCAACCATAAAAACCCTCCTCTTCTTCCAATGGGAGATGGCCTAGAGTCAGATCCACACAGGTCATTCTGCAAGTCGAGGATCTGAGGATGCCATCCACCCCTCCGGGAAGGTATAACTGCAGTTTCATGATCTTGCAACCTCTAGGCTCCAGACAAATTTAACTATTACCAAGGTACCTCATCTAATCAAGGAGAGAAAACAATTTGAGCCAAAAAATTAAAGAGAGTCTGATACAGTAACTGGTGGTCCAAACAACATGTTGTAGCCACCTGGGCAATGAGGAAGGGAGACCCTTGGTCAGATGGACAATTTGGCTGATGCAGGTTCTGTCTGTGTGGAGGATGTGGTTTCTGCTCCCTTTTATTCTCTGTGGCCCTGCCAGAGAGGAGCCTCATGAAGGGCTGTGGCCCAGCATAGAGCAGCCATGAAAGCCCACACTCTGAGGGTGGGGGTGAGGAGCCTGAGGTGGCCCAGGGGATGGAACGGTCACAGGCTCCTGCATGCCAGGCCAGGGCACTGTGCTGCAACATTCTCTCCAACATTGTGTTGATGCCTATCAATTGATTCTGGCTGTAAACAAACATTTTCCTCTGAATCTTGCCATTCTTCATGCCCTGTCTCTAGGCCTTTAGTCCATGACTTCTGTCCCTGCCTCCTCTCTGGCTCCAAGCAGTGGGAACAGAGAGCTGAGGTAGCACCAACAGCCCCAGGAACTCTGCTCAGCCCCCAAGCCATGGAGAAGTGAGAACTTGCACCAGGAGCAAACACAGCAAAAGGGGTTTGTGAGGGTGCAGGATTCTCTGCTCCCCCATCCTGACTTCCAGAATCCCAGTTTGATGGTTCCCTGCCCAATTTTGTCTTGGGGAAAGGAATTCAGATTTACAGTTCAAAAAGATGATGATGGGGCTGTAAGTGGCCCTGGTCCCTGGCCTCAGGAAGTGAGCACATCTTTACAATCTCAATACACCTTTCCAGCTGGTGGCTGTCTGCTGTCATATTAGGACCGAAGCCACATTTGTCTGTCTTGCATTGCCTCACCGATGGCCTCAATAAACAGCCAATACTCCCTAACACAGCGATGGCTTTCTACTGAGAATGCTAGACACCAAGCCATGACATCTTTGCTAAGTAATGAACACTGCATACTTTTAGATAAATTAAAGTTTTAGATAAGTCCAAGACTCGTGGATATACCCTAATCGAATCATAAAATAAAGCTCACATCCAGATTCATTTAAGCTCACATCCAGATTCATCGATCATTACTAGATCGTACTTTATCATTACTAGGAATTTTCCTTGTTACAAAGTCCAAAGAAAAGGGCTCAGTTTGATATTCATATTATCTTACTTATCTATTTTCAAGATATAAGAAGAAAAAGGACTCCGGATGACACAAAAGAGACGGTCATCATTATGAAACGTCATTTGAAGTCAGCGGCTCTAATAATGAAGACATAACTGGAGGAAATACTGTAAAGGAGGCAGAGATCCCCGCACAGCACTCCTCAGTTTAGAGAGATGGAAACTGAGGCCTGATCACAGTCCTCTTGCCAGGCTGTAGCAAAACGGGACCTAGAAGCAAAGTTTTCCATCCCTGGACCCAGTTACTGTCCTTGGTCAAAGCTCAGACTGAAATCCTTGCCTAGATTCGATTATGAAGAGAGCAAAGAAGAAGGAGCAGGAACTTTAAGAGAGAAAAGCCTGAAAAGGGCCGATGGGACCTCCGTGGGATCGCTGAGGCTTGCTTGCCTCCGTTGGGAGTCTCCAGCTGTGGCGGCGGAGGGGCTGCACCCAGGGACGCTGGAGAGGGGCGGCAGGGAGCTGAGGAGAGGTTCATCCCCAAACTCCACCCACTGCAGTTAAGAGCGAAGCGACTTGATCTTAGAAAACCTGGGTCCTCTCTATTTTGAGGTCTGGAACAGCTGGAACAGTCTGGCTGCAAGACGCATGCAGGACGCAGATCTGCCCCACATCCACTTTTGTTCTTCACTATTCCAATTAACTTCATACAACTTAAAGTAGGAATGTGTTGTTGACATGGTAATACTTGGATTTTGTGTTTGTTGTACTTTCTGAAGAATCTAGTTCCATTAATTTATTTTATTAACGTTTTTGCATGTCCTTCATTGTTTTCCATTTTATGAACACTAGGACGAATGAAAACAGAAGCATTTCTTGTTCCACATCCCGGTGCCAAGGTGAGCAGTTTCCAGTGCAAATCAGCGGCCCTGGGAAGACTTCAACAAGCAGCTCTGGAAAACGAGGAGGCTCCACCCTGGAGAAGCCGCACCTCAGCTGTCACCCAGTGGGGCGAGACCGGGAGGCATTTCCATTATTTGTGTAACACCTCCCTCCCAAAAGCATCTGAAGCATTTAACACACGTGCACGCATCGGGCAGAATAGAGAGTAAATAAAGGCTCCTGGACGCTGACGTTCCCATCAGGGAGGCCTTCGTTTCCAGGGGTCGACGCGTGGGCGCTTCCTCCGTCCAAGCGCAGCGGGTATTTGCAAAACAGCGGCAATGAGCTCTCCCGAGAAGGGTCTAAAGAAGGCGCAGACCTCCCGCCGGAGGCGGTCCTGAGCGTCAGGGCTGGGCCGGCTCGAGGGCGGGTCCTCTCCACCCGGACCCCGCGGTCCCCCGTCTGCCCAGCGTCCCCGCTGCCCGCTCGGAGGGGCTCTGTGCTCCCAGAGGCCGTGTCTCCTCCGACGCCTGCGGACTTCCCCGCCCGGGGACCGCGGGGTTCCGCACTGGCGCGGCCGGAGAAAGGAGCGGGTTAGGCTTGCCTAGATTCGATTATGAAGAGAGCAAAGAAGAAGGAGCAGGAACTTTAAGAGAGAAAAGCCTGAGAAGGGCCGATGGGACCTCCGTGGGATCGCTGAGGCTTGCTTGCCTCCGTTGGGAGTCTCCAGCTGTGGCGGCGGAGGGGCTGCACCCAGGGACGCACACCTGGGATGAGGAAACCACTGCTTGTCTGATCAGAGCCCTCCGGGGACGCCGTCCAGGTTTCAGCCTCCGCCCGCCCCCAGAGGAAAACCGAGATTTGTGCCACGGTTTCTAAGACCTAAGTGAGAGGCAGACACCCGGCGACCCCGGCGAAGGCGCGTCCCAGGCTCACCGGCCGCTCCCCGAACCCGTCCCTCTGGCGGCTGAGCCCCCAGCGCCTTCCCGTCTCGGAAGGAGGCGCGCGCAGATCCCTCGGGGTGTCCCGGCCCGGGGGCCGCGGGGGACGGCAGGTCCCGCCGGTCGCTCCAGGAAGAGGCGGGGCGCTGGGACCCCAGAGCTGGGGACCCCGGGCTGGGAGCCGCGCGCACCGGGACCCGCTGGCCGCCTTCCGCGTGAGGGTGGCCGCACCTTCCCGGGCGCCCGGCAGCCGCTCCCCCGGCCCGAGCCGGCGGCCACCGCGTCCCCTTTGTGCGGCCGGGAGGGGAGCAGCCGCCTGCAGGCACCATGCTGCGCACCGGGGCCAAGTACGCCGTCAAGAGGAGGAGAAAGCCGGCGCGGAGGAGGTACGCGGGGCCGAGGGGGCGCGAGCGGCGCCTCTGGGGACCGAGCCTGGGACGGGGACCGCGTCGGGCACTGGGGGCGGAGAGGAAGGGGGGGCAGCCCTGCGTCCTCCCGCGGTCCCCGAGCCGGGCCTGTCCCCCAGTCCGCGGCCCTGCCCTGCGGCTCTGGCGGCGGATTCTGAGGCCCCCGCGGCGCGCTGGCGCGGAGCTCCTGGGCAGCCTGGGGAGAAAGGATTCCGTTTTAAAGACACCCCCACCCCTGAACTGCCGCTGGGGATGTTGAACCTTGACAGTAAGTTCAACACCTCGTTCGGGCACGCGTCGGCCGGGGTCGCTCGCTTTCTGGAAAGGGCGCGCTGGGGTCTCCCGCGTTCTGTGACCTGCGCCCTCCAAGACCCTGCGCCTCGAACCAGGGCTGGGTTTACCGGGTGCGCAGCAGGGAGGGAGGTCTCCGAGTCCCGGAGGTGGGGGTGCGACGGAGAGGCCAAGCGGGCAGCCCCCACCGCATGCACAGGGACGGGGGTGCGAGGCCCTGCGGGGTGGAGGACCCCGGCGGGTCAGGCCCGAGCGAGCTGCGTGGAGACGGGGACGGCGGCCCCGCCGAGTTCGCGGCGGCCCCGGGGTTGGACAGACGCTCTGAAAGGAACAGTAACTCGGAAATCGGTGTAGGACACAAATCCCTGAGTCTTCGTCCAGTGCCCAGAGGCTGGGTTGGGGCCTGGGAGAGGTTGTGCGAAACTTAGCCGCGATGGCTGCGGAGACCCCGCCGGCCTCACAGCTCGGGTCCTGGAACCTTCCCGAGGGACGTGGCGACCCCGGGGAGAGCCCGGCTGCCCCGAGCGAGCTTCCAAATGCAGAAGGCTGGTCCGCGTCCGAAAAACTTCCGAAAGATCTCAAGATATCAATTCTCATTCCGTGTGATTTAAAAATACACAGAATGCCAGGAGAGGAGCCCGGTAAAAAAGTGCAGATTTGAAATGTCACACAAGTGTTACTATGAAATGTCCAGAAGAACGGACATCCAGGGAGTATGAAAGCAGACGGGGGTGGGGTGGAGGACATCGGGGAGAGGGAAGTGGCTGCTAGGGGGAGACGGGTTTCCTAAGCGTGTTCTGGAACTCGCTATAGGTGATGGTTACACAGCATTGCGATTGCATCTACTGCCTTTAAATGGTGAAATTTGTCTGTGTATTTTACCACAATAAACAAAAGCTCATGAAACTGTTCAGTAGGGGCACAGATATCTCAGAACCACACTCCTCAGGAGAAGTTTATTTTCCAGGGCAGTAGAACCAGTAATCATTGGATAACTGAAAAAGATGTTCAAAATGGGAAATTTTTAAGAGTGTTACAAATACCTTAAATATTTTATTTTAACTGAAAATACCAATGGCTATCAATTTGCTAATCCTCTGATGCTGGTTGGGGTCCTCTTCTTCTTTTGTGTGTGTGTGTGTGTGCGCGTGTGTGTGTGCGCGTGTGTGTGTGTGCATAAATCGCACCCACAAGGTACTGTCTTCAGTTTAAAGACACTTGCATCTCAATAGGATCCTGACGTGTAGACTAATTCACCAGCAACTTTTTTTTTCTGCAGCCATACTGTGAGTCTTTCCAAAGCATCCAGCATAGTTCACTAAGAAACAACACTTTCTCTTTGCTCTCACTTCATTAGCAATCATAACAGAAAGAGTTGAAATTAAAAGGCGTGGGGACATTTAGCAGTGATTTTGGGTTAGTACACAGCTTACCTGATGGGAACAGAGTTCCAGGTGTCTGGGGAGTCCAACCATGGTGAACTGTGGACGTCTTAGGTTTGCAACCAGTTGATGGGGGACTGAGCTAAGCGGTTGGTTAACAGTGATCTAGTGTAAAAACTGGCCTCATTTGCAAACACTGTGCTGTCTTGTTTCCTGAGTTGCTCCAAGTGCATTGCTTTAGGGATTTCTGTGACTCACTGGGTGGTAGGGTGGCCACATGGCCTTCTGCCTTGGACCTGGGTCTTAGCTTCCCAGCTAGGCCTCTTCCCCACCACTCCCCATGGCCGTGTGGAAGAGACTCTGGTTCTGCTGGCAAGGCTGGGCAGGCCACGTGGGACAGCGTCAGGGATGCTAAAGCCAGGGCTCCAGGGGCTCCTTGGGCTCAGGATGGGGTGGGGAAATGGGGACAGCGATTCAAAGCCCCTCCCAACTTGGCCGTGCATCCTCCTCTGAAGCTAGTGGCAGCTGATAGGGAGCCCACGTGGCACCTGCCAAGCTGCCTTCCCTCCTGTATGGCTCTCCCCTGACCTGCTGTAAACACCACAGTGTAGAAGCTTGCACCAGCTTTGTGGTGGTTTGCCAACAATTTTCACCCTTGTGTTGGGTCACTGCATAACGTTGAAATGTGGATGCCATTGTGCATTTGAAAGGTTTAGGGCACTGGAAGATGTAACCCACTTTTAAGGACTTTGGGTAGAATCATTTGTAAAATCTACATAAAATGCTTTGAAACAGAGCCTGGGGGAAGTTTGTAAGGCAGACATTGGGCTTCTAGCACCTGCACACATCACTGTCTTTTCAAAATGCTTTCTTGAAGACTTCTGTCGCTCATGTTATCAACCTGGAGATGTAGCTGAGGTGTGGCGACCTCCTCTGTCCACCGCTGAAATCAGGCTGTGCATGTGGTTGAAAATTAGCCTAATTCTAAAGCCACAAATCTCTGCAAAGTAATACTTTATACTTAGAATTCAAGTCTTGCAAAGCTTTCTTAAAAGAATTCGCTGCTCTGCTCAGTTGAAGAGCCCAGGGCTAGGGGTAAGCTCCGTCCAGCCTCAAGCTCTGGTTCCTGCCTTGGCTTTGAACTGCTGTGTCACATGGAAGGCCGCTGCCTTCTATCAAACTCTCTCTACATGAAGTGCCCTCATTATTTTTTTCCTTAAGGCAGAAAAAGTATTTCATGACTCTTTTCTTATTCGTTTTCTTGTTAAATATTATTTTTGTAATAGAAGCATCTCTGCAGCAGTTCCCCTTTGAGTGGGATTAAAACAACTTTTTTTTTTCATAGCAGGTGATTCATTCTTGGAAAATATTTTCCCATCAGACCCTCAGAATCTGTACATGTATTGATGGGAGTTGGACTTGGTCATCAGAACAACCATGACGTCTTCTTCCACAGAAGAAGTGTGAGGCTTGTGCTAGGGGAAGACTATCCTCCCCTGGGTGAGATTCTGAACCAGGAGAGATCAGGGGCTGGAGTGCAGACCTGCAGACTTGGCTGCCTATTCTCACAGGTTTGGTCTTCCTTGGCAAGGTAAAGTCAAGTCCAGAGCAGGTTTAGTGTGTGTGTTGGTTGGGGAGTCAGAGAGGCTGTGAGGTCTCTCAGCATCCACTAAGCCTTCCAGCTTGGCAGGTTTCTTTACCCATACCACATAGAGAACAAGTTGTAACTAGCGTGACCTTGGGGGATGTTTCTTTCTTAACATGGAAGCTGGCACTTAGCCCTGCAACCCTCTGGTGCAAAAGACACTCATATCTGTCTAGAAACAGAGGACCTCAGTGAAGGTGCAAGGATGTCATGCAAAACGTGTGCCTCTGCCATCAAAACACCTCCAACCCCATTCTCCCTGGGGTCAAATCTGCACAAGGTTTCGGCAGCAGAGCAACTGGCCCAGGCAATGGACCAGGATGGGCGGAACATATCAAGGCCCATTTCCCAGGCTCCCTTGCAGCTGAGGGTAGACATGTGACCTCATTCTGGCCAATGGGACCCAAGTGGAAGTCTTCTGGGAGTTCTGGGAAGGCTTCTGCTCTCCTGATCCAAGGCAATGGGCATGGCCTACTTCTGCCTGGGATGCGGACGCAATACCATAGCTCCAGCCGCATAGTGGCCATAAGGCAGGAAGATAAGAGTCAACATGTTAAGAATGTCAGAGCATAAGGAAAGGGGAGGAGTCAGAAACTTCACTTACTCACTCATTTGACAGATTCATTCTGAACATTGACTCTGCCAGACCCTGTCCTAGGCGTGAGGAATCCAGCAAAGAACAAAACCTTCCCTTCTGTAGCCTACATCCTAAACATAATAAATACACATCAGGACATGATACAAGCCATCTGGGGGAGAGTGTGAATGCAAATTCCCTGAGGTGGGCTTCGCTTGGGGCAAAACTGGAGCTGAGTGGTAGAAACAGCAGAGAGATGAAGGCTCAGGAAAAGTGTCACCGAAGGTTCTGGTAGGGGAATGGTGTGTTGGATGGTTCTGATTGCTTTAGGGAGAGAGACAGGTGGAGGGTAGAAGTCAAGAGGACAGTGGGGGACTACCTGGGACTCCAGACAGAGGCCCTGGTGGCCTTTTTGACAGGGAATCATGGAGGGTGAGAAGTGGCTGGGATCTGCACATAGGTTGAAGAAAATGCAGATAGGATTTGGTGAGTAATTATATATGGGCATAAGACAGAGGGGAGTCTGAATGGCAGTCAGGGTTTGGCCTGGGCAAATTCACTGAGGTGACATCTACCCTCATTCATCTCAGCTCAAGCTTAGCCCATCTGAACTGGCCTGTCCTACCTGTCACCATCCTCCCGTGGAGAAACCTGGAGTTGTCCTTCCCCTCTCTGGAAAACCATTCCAAATGCTGCTAATTCCACCCCAGGATATCCAGTCTGCCCGTTTCTGTGCCCCGGGCTACCGTCATCCCCTGTGGCCCTTATAGCAGCTCCTGGGAAGTTCTGCATCTCCTGCTCTCACCTCTTCTGGTTTGATCATACTGTAGCAGATTGGGTCTTTTTTCTTTCATTGTGTTAAATCACGTGATATAAAGTTTACCTTTTTAACCATCTTACAATGTACAAGTACATCAGTACATTCACAATGTGCAACCATCCCTACTATCTAGTTCCAGAATATTTTAACCACCCCCAAATTTTTGGAAATCCCATACCCATTAGCAGTCTCCTCCCATTCCCAAAGGATCTTGTAAAAGATGAAAGCAGTACCTCCCATCAGCAGTTCCTCATTCCACCTAGG